ATCTATCGCTATTATCGCAGCTTATGAGTTGACCATTAACCCTTAGTTTTTGTCTTTTAACCAATGATTTGACTTTGCATCCCATCTGTATGATGGTTTGATGTATAGTGTCATCGCTGACTGATAGTGGGATATATTTGATGGTAAGTTTGATGGTGTTCAAACCACTGCTATGAAGATATGGGTTTGTATCGTACAACTGAACAGTACAATTGTTTATTGTAATACCGCGGAAGAGAGTAGTATATTACTCTATTGGCCCTAACCTTAACCTAAAGTCGCCACAAATTCTTTATTTTTTGGATTCCTAATAGGCCTATACCGTCAGCTGGTATATTCTCATTCAAAGATTTGTAAACATCTTCAGCCTTTATTAATCCGCTATTGACGACATCGCCTAGTTCGTCCGAGTGTTTGAAAAAAAAAATTGGCTTGCAAGTTTGCGAGCCTGGTTGAGGCCTTTGATTTCCCAGGTCAGCATTAACCGCTGCTGCATTACCGGCGTTTTCTGTCAACACAAGGGTGCAGCGGTTGAGGCCAGAATATTGTTACTAGTATTACTCACATTGATATCCATCTTGATCGTTCCTTATCAGTCTTGTTTTTTCCTTTATACTTTATTTTCCACTGATAATCTTTTAACGTATGATATCTGGTCAGATTATCGAATTTAGTCGTTATTTTTCTTTGACACTATTCAATGATCGCCTTAGAGATCTCATCATAGCGCCACGCCTTGTGCTTGTTTTTACCTATTTACTATAATGAAATATTTGCCCTAAAAATGAACGGAATGGCTACAACAGACTTCTGAACTTATAATCACTGAAATTGCATATTTCTGTGGGTAATGTACATAGACACATATTTTAGGTGTCAAATTATTAGATATATTGAACAACAACAAAAAAACACACACAGAGAATGCAAATTCGGTAATTATAAAGCCAAAGGTCAATTTTAGCATTTCCGGTAATTTTTGTGGCAAATGTTCAATAGGGCAATTAGAAACATTATTATTCCGTACAATACAAAATTAAGGCAACGTTCTTTGACCAGATATTGCCAAATTAATATGTGAATCCTATATTTTCATTTATAATTTGCATATTTTAGAGCTAATTTGTATATGAACAGTACCTAGTGACCATGGTGTGTTTATAGATTTCTATCGCTTCTATTATTATATTGGAAAGAATCATGTATTTAAATAATTTGAGACGTACATTAGTCGTAGAAATATGCAAATTCAGTGAATAAGGTCAGAGGTCAATTCTAGCATTTTTGTTCATTTTTTGGGGCAAATGTTCTACTAGAGCAAATAGAAATATACATATATTCGAAATAATTTGAAAGAGAATGCAACTCTCTGCGACTAGCGGTATACCAAGATATGAGAACCATATATCATTCAAACTAATTTGCATATTTTAGGTAATTTGCATATGTTTCCGACTCGTGACCGAGGTGGGATTTGTGGAACTTCATCCCTTCATCACGTACTTGATTAAAAAAGAAAAACATTTTTGGCTATGCTTTGAGCTAGATTGCCTACCATTATTATATTTTCCCCTAGTGGCAAGGCATAGACCTTCAATAAACCAGTCAACTGAGCTGAGAATGTGCTCAGTTCAGTTCAGCGTGCCTTAGCCCTCAAGAGAGCCGTAGGCGTTTCTCGAAAATTCAAACTCTCAGAATTATAAATTTTGTCAATTTTACGAAAGGTGTTGGATTTTTGCCAAGCCGTATCTAAATGAATAATAGGCCTATAACAGATAAATGTCTACATTTTAAGGTTTGTGATAAGTATTAATCATTTATATCGTCACTGTTTATCAATTGTGTGTAATTAATAATTAATGCCTGAGATTTTAAGCTAGAAACACATCGTTTAAATTAATAATAAATGAATAAACCTTTCGATATTAACCTAGACACTTAGAGATAATATATAAATATATATATATATATAGGCCTATATATATAAGTATATATATATATATATATACATATATATATATATAATGCTGAAGTATAAATTTGGTACTACAACAATTTTGGATAGAGATTACTTATGACTTACAGGAACGGTATTATCAAACGTCTTCTAATTTGGACATTCGTCGTTTTACAGTCCTTATAAATTGGTGATAACATAAATACACACGGTAACTAATTCAAGTTTTAATATTGATTTCGAATAATTCAAGTTAAACACAGACATAATATATTTTATCTCGGTAGATACTGGAATCAGCGGCGGCTGCTCAAAAAACAGTACGAGAGGTTACAAGACGAGGGTCCGCCACTAGTCGACGGCATACAGATTCGATATGACGCGTTTGTCTCCTACAACAGCAAAGACGTTGATTGGGTACTCAAGTCAGCCCTACCGACATTGGAAGGCCCCGAGTTCAACTTTCGTCTCTGCGTTGACTTCCGAGATTTTCTAGTCGGTGAAGCAATCGCTGACAATATTTCTGATGCTATTAAGTACAGTCGTAAAATGTTGATAGTTGTCACCAAGAACTTTGCTAAAAGTGAATGGTGTTACTTTGAAATGGAAATGGCAAAGACCCGTATGTTTGACACTCACGAGGATATTTTTGTGGTTGTAATTTTAGAGCATGTAGCGAGTAGAAAGATGCCAACATTACTTCAGAAGATCTTAAGAAAGAAGACTTACATAGAATGGACTGAAAATCCAGATGGGCAGAAGGTTTTTTGGACACGGTTGGCAGCAGCTTTGAATACTCCGAATGTTCACCACGATCGTCTTATAACCTAAAAGGTTCTATTTCAGAATATCAAACGTTGATGTAAGAATGCTAGCGAAGAAAAAAATGGAAAGTCACGCGCCTACTCTTTCGCAAACATTTAATTGGATTTTTAGCTAAAGCTCGAAAAATTGATTATTGTCCATATTTTTCAGCTCATCACAGTTAATACTACTCTCCATATACATCACTTCGGTTATCAATATAAAAATTATCAAACTCAAACATTTTATGTTTTTCATTCGCTATGAAACGTTGGCTTTAAAGCGCCCTCGAAAACGTGAGTTCGTCTTTATAACTACTAAAACAGGTTTGTATTTATTTCTAAACAAAGAAACAAAATATATTTCGTTCATGTTTTTTGCTTTTCACTTAGTCAAATCAATCCCATTGTACAGTAATTCACTTTGTCAATAAATTGTCTTGATTTAACAGGCATTTTTATTTCAATTAATAATCGTGAGTTTTATTGTCAAGAACACTAAGCCTACCTGTATGTCGGTGGTATAGATACTAATACTACAGTGTTATGTCACGATACCGCGTGATACTTCTCCGTTGCTATCGTTGCAAAAAGCATTCAACCGGGCGCCATTTTCGCCACTGACAAACTAATATAATGCGAACATTTGTGGTTTTAATACATTTTGATGGTAAAATATTAGATTTCAAAATGCCTATTCCAGAAATCCTATGAAGTCGTTCAGTCGTAATGAACGGTAATCAACGTCTGTTGAAAACAGAGAGCGCCACCTGGCGTCGTGTCGACTGTAATCATCCCTTACTACAATGGTAAAACAAAGGATCAAATACAGTTTGTGTCCGACAATTAAAAATAAGATTTTCGTTTTAACGAAGGGACACAAATTCCACTGTACGTGTAAACAACCTATGCTAGGTTTATTTGCATCGCCTTCACAACACACTTTTCACTCTAAATCAATAGTTAATTAAAGTTAACATTTGGATAAATTGAACATTGAATTGTTTAATGCTTTTTCTTTAAACATATATTGTTAGTATTATATGTCAGCGTAATTACGGCCTACGACTCATTTGTGTGTAAATTCGTTATGCATATAAACTAGATTCAGTAGCTGTTTAAAGCCAATTATTGTATTTTTGGTAATGGGCTTGATAGATTCAATGTCGGAGATTTGCCAAAGTGTCTGATAAAGCTATAAAAAAAACCCTAAAATATAATTCTAAAACCAGGGAACAGTGAAATTACACTGTTCCCTGCTAAAACAAAATACCAATAGATTATTTGTGATTAAATCTCATGTTGTTATCATAGATTAATTATGCTTTTGAAATTTAAGTCTCGAATCAAAATAAATGTATAGAAAAAAAAATTACAATATCTGTTTATGAGTTTACAGTATGTTATTTTTAACGTATCTACATTTTTAGTTGAGATTGATTATTTTTAATAGTTGGTCAGATGCCTCCTCTGTTACGCTTCATTACTTATCCCATTATGCCTCTAAAAGGTAACATCCACCCAATTTTTAAATGATCTGATTTAAGTGTTTTCTAGAAGCTGATTCAATATATAGTGACATAAATATCTTTAATATTCTGATCCTCAAATATTCCAGAAACATAATGTTTGTAAAAATCATATTTTTATTGTGATCAATATAATGAGATTCTTCGGCGAAACTCTTGCTTATGGATATATATTTAAAAATGAAATTTGTCAAGTTTCATAAATCAATTAAAAGTACACAGCATTTTTCAATATTTGTTTACATTTTAGTAAAAATACCAACGTTTCTAAGTAAATACGAGTTTTTAACCCAGTTTTCATGAGAGGGACCAATTTAGCCAGACTTTAAAAATGGTCGGTTTATAATAATCCAGGTTTGGCAAGTAATATTGCATCAGATAATTATCATCTTCAATCGATATATAAATTGATCAACTTTACATATTCCTCTGTTCCCTCTGCTCCACTCTTGTTCAAAATAATACTAAAAAAATGCAAAAAATTTGTCTTTAACTGAACTCAAAACTTAAAATGAAAGTATACAACCGAAAACATTATCCTTACATTTAAATGATTTGAGGTTGTGTGTTTATTGATTATTACTCATTTATCCCGCGTATGTGTAAGAATATGTTAAAAGGTGTGAAGATTGGTTGAATTCCCATGTAGGAGACACCTAATTTTCGAATATTAATAAAATTAGGCTATCGTCAGCCAATATTGAGATAAATGTTAAAGCATTACGTAAGTTACCAAATTCTAATGAGAAATAGATAAAAAGAATCATTTTCCAAAGAATTTCTTAAATTGGTGGTATCAAATTTATAAATCTATGCGCACGGTTTTAATATTACTCACAATTTATGAACTTTGTAGTAAAATGTCTGTAAATCATATAAAATTGTCTTATTAGAAGTTGAAAACTTATGTGATCTTTATTTTAAAATATGTAATGAGTTTTTGTTGATTTTATAGTTGGCAGTGTGTCTAAATAAATAACATAACATAACATGTTTTGTGTTCTGTGGTACCTACGGAATGAAAAAATACTAGATTTAGGATTAATTGTAATTCAGACGACCTACTTAATTATTCATTATAGGTTTAATTCGGGCATAATTCACAATATTAAATGCAATAATAAATAATGCTAAACAAGGTTAATTTAAACGTAATTGGTATTTTTATTATCCTTGGTTATTATAATGCCACAATCAGTGGGAAAACGACTAGGTGAAAAAAAAATCAATTTTGGTACAAACTCAAAGGGTATAGCTCACGTTTTTGTTGAAATTAGACGATTTTGTTTTGTGTTATGTGGCACCCACGTATTATACTGGTATTATCCATGTTTGCAAATGCCACTTAAAACCTAGTTTTAAGCTTAAATAATGTTAATTCAGGCGTATCTAATTAAAAGCATTATTATTATATATATAATATACATACTATATATATAA